CTCCATACTTAGTTCCACCTACAGCGCCTGGTGTCACGTGTCAGATGAAATGTACTCCAGAGCAGACGCCCACAGGTAGTTTTCAGCCTCGGCTCATAAGTGCTGCTGTCCACAGAAGAAACACGTGGAGGGGGGGGGGGCAAGGAAGGGTGTAGTTGACTGTTTTATTTTTTTATTCCAGATCTTTAGGAAATGCATTTCAACAGGAGGCATTTCTGGAACTCCGTCAAGTCCTGGATGAACATAATAAGAGAAAGAAGCCTGTATGTAATACTGAAGTAAAGTACACCACATAAAAAAAACATCTGTTAAAGTTCCACATCTTAACATGTCTCTGCACTTTCGTCTGATTTCATAGCTTGACAGTGCCGTCGAAAGAAGTGGGAAACTTGTTACAGCAAACTGGAGTGAGCAGCTCAAGGTAAACGCAGAGCTAACTACCTTGGTAAATCATTTAGTGTTTGCATAGCTGTAATCTATGACTACTGAGGTTACAGGGAAGTTCTTACAACGTCTCACATATTGGACAACCAGGAAAAAACATTTTTAAAATGTGTTTTTGGGCTTTGAATGCTGCAGTAAAATACATGGTCGACTTCTTTAAAGACTGACTAGAAAAGACGAAGCTAGACTTCTGCACCACATGTTTGGCCATATTAGGTTTGTATCAAGTGACAATTTGTTTTTTATTTAAACAGATGAAGAAGAAATTAGTTGTGCTAACGAAGGAACACGAGGCTCTGTTCAACTTTGTTGAAAACAACAGGCACATTTGCACAGAAAAGGAGAAGCAAAAGGTTGAATTAATGTTTTTTTGGGGGGGGGTTGACAATAATACTGTACTGTCTAAAGAAATGGCTAACAGTGCTTCTTTTCCTGCACTGAATCAAGATGCTCAACAGATTGACTAAGTCTGCAGAGTTACAGACACGAGTGGACGGGGAGTACTTCAATATTAACCTGGAAGGTCATCAAATGAGACTCAAGTGGGAAAACACATTGAAGAACTGCTACCAGGTAGTTACCGAGTGTTTATAGTTTTCAGTTTGTATTTTTTTTTTCCTCTTAAATTGGACAGTACAGTTTTAGAGGTTTTTTAAAAGATTAGAGGTAAACCCTGTGCTTTTTGTTTGGAAAATCAATCAGTGTCTAAGTCGCTCTGTTTGGAATCGCATATTACTTATGTCATTTTTGTTTGTGCTGTTTATTGCACAGACTTATTCAACTATTACCACAACATTCAGTTTCCTGTTCTTAACTTTTTAGATAATACAGGAGCTGGAGAAAGAGAGAATTGAAGTTCTTTGCAACATCCTGACCAGATACAACCTCCACATGTCTGGCTTTGGACAGACACTAAAACACGTAAGGCGTTTTGACTTTCACCTCAATCTCAATCATTCACACATAAGATCTAATGGCGTAAACTGATGCTAACTATTGTGTATCGTCTGTCTGTTTTCTAGAGCCAAAGACAGATAGAGCAACTGGTCCAAAGGGTGGATATGGAAAAAGACATACAGGCCCTGGTGGAGGAAAACAGAATCACAGCTGATGATAATAAAGCTGAGTTTTTGATGGCTGACTATTTCGTAAGTTATCAATTTTGCCTTCAAATTTTGCTCATACCCAAAAAAAACTTAGATATTAAGACTGCAGTGCAACTGTGTTTGTCTGCGAAATTCACTGATTTTTATCAAATATGACTGAATGAAATATTCTTACCATGTTCCTGTGAAACAGGAAGAAGACAGCAAATCGTTGATGGACAAAGAGCGACGAAGAGAAGCCATCAAACTCAAACTCCAGCGTTTGGACGAAACCATAACAAAAACAAAGAAAGACAGTGAAGGTTAGTTCAGTGTGTCTTCATCAGCATCACCTGCTAAAGTCAATTCACTCACTTTCTTACGAGTCACAACAATGTTGTTGCAGGAATTGAGAAACTCATGAAAATGTACTCTGAAAACCCGTCCTTCTCCAATCAAAAGAATCTGGAAGACATTGAACAGCAGCTCGACGAGGTGAGTGTTGAAGCCTGTGTGTAAAATAAGTGGATAACAGTGTTTATAGAAGATTTAAAGCGGTTTATTGGATACTCTGCCTCCAGAATAAACTGAAACTGGATCTCCTGGAGGCCACTCACTACAAACTGTCTTTGTCACTGTCGGAACCAGAGGGGAAGCCCAAGTCCTTTTACCGTTTCAACGACAGCATCGTGAAGTGGAGGGATAAGGTGTGACTCCATTTGTCTCTTCCTTCGTGTCCGGACATACTGACTTGAGTAAAACAGGATGTTTTCAATTGTAAGCTGTGACACAGTACAAAAGTCTAAACCCTTCTAAGGGCACTGAGCTGCTGCAAGGCCAAAAAAACTTTTTTTTTAAAATTGTGCAAAAGTGAAATATTGCAATTAGTAAATGTACTTTTGTCGACCGGGATAGCAGTTTTGAATCAATATTGGTGAATGTGTCAACGTTTGGCTCAGTTGTAGCATTATGCAAAAAGGAAAAAACATTATTTTATTACATAGAAATAAAAATACACAATACACCTTTGAATTCTATGGGCTTGGATTCTCTCAGGATGTCAGGTTTTACATAAACTCAAATGTGTTTCCAAATGTAAACACACTTTTTTCTGAATTTTAAAAATAAACATTTATTTCTGGATGCGCAGAAATGAACTGTCTTTGTTTGATCACAGGACTGCGAGCACAGTGTGGTTCAACTGACCCGTCCAGTCAAGCTCAGGAGGACTTCACTCAGAACCAGACAGTCGCTGAGAGCTTCCATCATTTACAAAAGACCAATTTCATTTTTGAGACAACAATCGGTTGATCAATCAAAAGGTTTCAACGAGGAGGGTCAACCCTCAGATTTAACACCAGAAACTGAAGCTCTGGGACAGAACAGCGCTTTAAAAAGAACTGTGTCCCTGAGGGAAGACAGCACAATAAAAGGTAGGACATTTCCTCAGCAACAGAAAACATTTTATTCTCTCAAAAATTCTGATATTTATAAAATAAAAAGTTAACAAACGTTAAAACTTGACAGGCCAAACAGTGCTGTGCACCATAGGAAAATGTAAAGTCTTGTACAATTTCAAGCCTGAACAAGATGACGAATTGACTTTAAAAGAAGGTAAATTGCTACAGTTGCAGGATATATAAAAAGTACATATATACATGAGAAAAACTAATACATATATTGATTTTTTCTGTTTGGATTTTCCAGGAGATATTTTAGACACTTACACAAAAGAGCAGAATGGTTGGTGGTTTGGGAAACTAAATGGAAAGACTGGTCACTTCCCGTCAGCATATGTTGAAGAACTGCACGTGTCGAGTGACATCACATTACCTGACAACTGACCACCCAACAAACCACCCAACAAAAGTGAAATGTTGGAGGTTCCTATATTTCTATGTACTGTCTAATTATATTCATGTTTTACATTTGTTAATAAAGTCAAAGATACTTTTTTTCCATTGCAATTACTGTATATTATTCTAATGTGTTGTTTTGACAAATACCTTAATGAGTAGTGACAGTGAGACACAAATGAATGCTAAATTTAATCTACCTGTACTGTAGAAGAACAGGTTAGACGTGAACTTGTTAGAAGTTCCACAACAATTAGCCGTTTTTAAATTGTTTTCAAGGAGCTACAATTTTATCGTGCTCTGACAGAGACCTGATAGTAGTTGGTATGACAAGAACAACTGTGTCGTTTTAATTTGGCACAATCTATCACATCTGACTTAAAGCTGTCCATTAACATACTGTGGATCAATTTAGATTTGGACTGGTCCCAGTAATGTGATGTGATAGCAGTACTTCAGTGCTGTGAAATGAATGAAAACACTTACTTTTACCTTTGAGTATCGCCACATGAACATTTTTAATCAACATCCTACTTGTTAAAATGAATCCAAACTGCCTCTTTACACATGGTTATGTGTCCTTTTCATCCTTTACGTCTTAGCCACGTGCATGAGAGACAAACTCCTTTCTGACATTTGCCAGGAATGCTGCCATGTTATTGGTCTCCTGAAGCCGTCTTTCTAAGGTGGGCAACAAATCAAGAACAGGGTCGCTGGACACAACTGTAGAAAGAAAAAATAAATAAATACAATATTCAAATAATATTATAGCAGTCATTTATGTGGCTGTCTTGTAATAGAACTAAGGTAACAATATATTGTAAATAACTATACAATCTTTTGTTGTTTCAAACAGGAGACTGGCTTTTCGGAAGTTGTCAGTCACATGAACACAGATACTAAGGATTTTCTTTTTTTTTATTCCAATTAGTTGGCCTTGTCACTATTAGCAATGATTCCATGATGTTCTGTAAAGGTCTTATTTCTTCGTGCAATATCATTGTTTCAGTTTTTAACCTACTTTGGTAACATCCGTCTTCTTTAATTCCCATGACGACAATGTAAGCACTGTCCTGATTCTTAGGGTCGATGTTCCGGAAAACAAACTGCAAATAGTCTCCTTTACAGGGACAACAAACATAAAACATGAATAACTTAGGAGATGATAACAAAGTTAATAACTTGCTTTAGGTTATTTTTAATTAAAAGCCCAAAAAGAGAAGATAACTATAACACATGGCTGCAAACAATTTTTTATTATGGCCTATAATTTTAAAAATGTATGTTTGTCCTCAACTTACCTTTCATCAGCTGCCCTTTACCAAAGATTGTTCGTATCTCCAGCCCCAAATGCTCCTGAAACACTCCTCTGGCTTTCTGGAGATTTCTCAATCTTGTTTTGTTGGCTCTGTTTTGAGCTTCTATTACTAAAAAACAACATCAGCAACTAAATGGTCAATTCATTCAGGAAAATCTTAGAAAGATTAGATGACTACTCCTTTAACCACTTACATTCTTTTCTCCTTCCTTGTTCCTCTGTAAGCTTTTCTATCTTAAGCATAATGTCATTTTTTTGCATCTCCTTCTGCTGAATCACTGATACTACTTCAGAAATGTCATGACTTTTCTCTTTTAACAACACGTTTTTCTGTTTCAGGACTGTGGGAAAGCACAAAAGAACATTTTAAACAAACTTAAGTGCCACATGGTAAATAAGTTGAGGGCTGACATCTCAGAGTAAATTCATTACAAAGCAAAGCAAAATTATAGGAAGGGAAAGATGCAGCACTTCAAATGGACTCACCTTTCTTGAATGCCTGTATTGTCTCAAACAACATCTCATCATCCTTACATTTCTTTAAATATGTATCTGTAACAAATACAAAAACAACTATTTTAACATTATATTTACAAAACTCAATATAAATGACTATTCTTTTCAACATTTGTGTTTCAGTATGAATACAGAAAATAATCAACATTTCAATGCTCTAATTTTGGATAACCACTGGTGGGAATTATATTATAATTTTGCAGGTAAATAAAATACAAATACATACCATGTGCAAACTTTAAAAACTGACTTTCGGCCTGAGACAACTCTGTTGTTGTATCCACCAACTCCCCACAGGTTTGTAGCAGCTTGTTGTGAATTTCCTCCATTGCATTGGTGAACCTGACACTGGTGTTTGGATCAGTGATCGACGTCATGATGCTTAGCAGTAAAATAATTTCGGTTACTTAACAAGACGCTGCATTTAAAATAATTTATGTTAAATATCCTTAATAGCGTGCGTGTGTTTTTGTCAAGAGACTGTCGCATGTGGCTTGCTATCTTGCAGATTAAGTATGCTTTAAATATTGGTTGCCGATTTAATTGCAATGCAAATAAGTTTATTTAGTAAGAATAATTTATATTCGCAATAAATGTTGATTTAGGAGCACATTCAAGGCAATGTTTAAACATTTTCATCTCTTTAGATCGGTATTAAAGTTAATATAGATCACATTAGCTCAAAAACCAAATGGTCTCAATGAGAGACTTTCTCTTGGATTTGCAAAGTTTATTTTTTCACAACTATTCAAAACAAACAGATCCTAATTTATTGTCAAATGTAAACAGTTGGAGCTTAAAGCACTTGAACTTCCTGACGAACAGAAAGAAATGTAGCGACACTCAACAACGACGCTCACAAATCCAATATAACCATGTGAAACTACAAAAGAACCTAATCTGCAAACAAATGACATGTTATTTATTGAAATGATGCCTGACAATAGGATACACTTTAACCGTAGTGTACAGGCCGAAACACTATTTTAGAAAGAGTATGACGCTGAACCTAGCTAAAAACATTAGCACGTTAACAGTTAGCTTCCGTTGCTATTCTATAATTTACATGATTAGCACGGTAAAATACACATTTTGGGCTGCATTAAAACACTACGTTGTCTTTTAAGTGTAATGGTAAAATATTACAACTACATTTATAACTTTTATAAGTTTAATTTATAACTTTAATATAACGTTTAAACTTACGTTCGGCTCTCAACAGACGTTATTTTCAAAAATCCGCGGCTATAAGAGGCGGGGCTGAACAGTCAAAAGACGGAAGTGACGTATTGTTATGTCCTGTTAATATGTATCGCTTTGAATGCAATAGAAAAATATATATAAACCCAACACTGCAACAGAGTGTAGATGTAGTAATATAGATGGCAGCACATGTTTTAATTTATTTATAGTTTTGAAAGAGATAATAATTGCTGTATTGTTGTGTTTATGAGGCATTCCTACAGGGGGTGCATTTGTACCATACCATATACGGTTTTCAGGAATAATGCTTAACCAAAAATATCCTGTTTAAAAAAGGAATATTGATTCTTTAACCTGAATTATTTTTTTTCTCATTTGGTATTAATTTTATTTAAAATTTGAAAAGCAGTTATTGTACATTTTTATCGTCTCGCCATTAAAATTTGCAGTATCCTTCCACCACCCTGCGGTGAATTTCACGAAGTACACTTTTGTCTGAACCCAATTTCCAAGTTATTATGGAGTGTGTGAAAATGTACACATTCTAGCCGAAAAGTAAATATGGTTTGAGTGAAAGAGGGAACCTATAGTAAATCAACCTCTGTAACCACACGCAATAACTTATTGCGTGTGGTTACAAAGCTGGCCCAAAACAAACAGAACTCATGTGGACACCATGACAATTCAACGCTAAATGACAATTTCTTCGGTGTAATTTACCTAATTTATTGGCGTTTTTCTCACAAAATGACGAATGGCGTCTTTTTAAATTTAATTTACTTTACTTTACTAAGAGCATATCGTATACAGTATCCATAACAAGAATTAAAATATATATATATTAGGATTGGAGAAATAAAATTAACAACAAATACAATTGTAAATTGCAAATAAACAAAACTGCAACGCCAGGGATTATTATAAAGAAAAACACAAATAAATAAAATGAAATGCAAAACATCTATCTAACAGTATACATAAACGGAATAAATATATGTATGTATGTGTAAATTACAGGGAATTTTGAGCCGCATACTTTACGTTTTACCAGTTTTTCATTGGAACAGGTGGACGTTGTTTTGAAGTAGAGTTTAATTTCGCTTTTAAAACAAATACAGAAAGTTAGCATCTAACATTTATGAATGTAAATTTTGGTTAAGATTCTATTGAGGTTGGAAAGAAAAAAAGCATTGTCTAGTTATCTCTCATAATTTATAAAACTAAATAAAACGACAGATGCACCAGTCTTTGGGTGCACGTAGCAGAAAGTACAGGCAACATCAATGTCTACAACTGGGGCCTTAAACAGATACAGTATTGTTAAAGAGAATATACGTCAAAATCACGCGACGGAAAAGCGCGCACCCTCCGAAAAAAAACAAGGCTGTTTGTAGTGATGCTAAGCAACTGAGTTTACATGTCAGTGTCTGCAGTGAGTACACATTGATCGAGGCTTTAGCATCATTTACGTTATTGTCAGTGTAGCTTTTTTTTTAATTATTTACTTTTTTTAGCATTCTTTTGCAAGACTGCGGGAAGGACGTCACTTGTTTGAACAGTGAGCACTTCAATGGCTTTATAACAAATTATAAAAAAAGTCAGAGAGAGAGAAAATGATAGTGTATGATGAAATTACAATTGTAATTTTTAAATTTTAGATGAAAATGTTGTCATCAAAGCAAGTTACAGAAACATTTTTGGACTAGGGGGCGGGGTTGCGTTTTTACATTTGTCATTATTTTACAAATTTGCTTTAAAACCATTTTAATGTAAATAAGACTGACTTGTAATAAGGTGTATAAAGACCCGTTTTCCTTCAAACTTTGCATCTAAGTCAAACCGGAACTTTATTAGATAGTCAGATGTGGTAAAAACTTGAATTTCTTTTTTAGAAAAATGTTCGTGTTTGTCGTTGGACTAGTGGTTGCTTGGTTTGCATATCGCTGGTACAAAGAAACCAAAAGGATCTCGAACAGAGAAGACAAATATGTCTACATCACTGGATGTGACTCAGGGTTTGGCAACTTACTTGCGAGACACCTGGACCAGCTGGGCTTTAATGTAATTGCAGGCTGCTATACAGAAAAGGGTGAAGATCTGCTGCAGAAATTATCATCCCATCGACTGACAACCTTGCACCTGGACGTTGCTGACTCTTCCAGTGTCAGCAAAGCAGCAGGGGTCGTCCAGACTCTGGTCGGGAATAAGGGTGAGTGACATATACAGGCACGACTACATGATGTCATGAAAACATACATATATATATATATAACAATGACAATATTATGACTTTCATATGTTGACAGTTACTTAATAGCAGTTAATGTTCTTTCTTGTGTTTGTCATTGTTTCGTCCCAGGCCTCTGGGCTCTTGTGAACAATGCCGGAGTCTCTCTGCCTGTTGGTCCCTCTGATTGGCTGACAATTGAGGACTATAAATCCCTCATGGCTGTCAATCTCTTTGGAGTTATAGATGTAACATTAAGCGTCCTGCCTCTCATCAAGAGAGTCAAAGGCAGAGTAGTGAACATGGCCAGCGTGCATGGGAGAATCACCCCCACAGGTGGACCATACTGCATCTCCAAGTACGGAGTGGAGTCTTTTAATGACGGCCTGCGGTGAGAGAAAATGTTTTTTATTTCATTCTGAACATTGACATAATTGTTTGCTTTTCTTACCCAAGCTTATATTGCAGTGAAGCTGTCACATGTCAGCAATATTGTAATCTTTTGACAGCCTTTCTTCTGATGTTTCAGTTTAAACATGGCACCATTTGGAGTCAAGGTCGTGTGCGTGGAACCTGGTTTCTTCAAAACAGACATGAGTGATTTAGAGCTGGTGAAGAAAAACTTTAAAAGGCTCTGGGATCGATTACCTCAGAATGTGAAGGACGATTACGGCCACAGTTTCCTGGGGCAAAGTAAGAATCTGTGTTGAGTTGAATTTGACTTTTTATCGTCATAGAAACCACATTTTAAAATTTTTGATATCCAGCCTATTAGCTGTTCCCAAATAAAAATACATATAATAAAAATTTAACCATGTTTTACAATTTTCTTTAGTTTGTCAAAGACTGGACGACAAGGTAAAGAATCTTTTTGACAAAGACCTAATGAAAGTGGTTCGCTGCATGGAACATGGCATCTGCGCTGTTCACCCTCGCACACGCTACTCTCCAGGATGGGATTCCAAGTTTTTCTGGCTGCCTCTTTCATATGCACCCACATGGATCTCGGATAGAATTTTCCTTAGAAATTCTCCCAAACCGAAAAAATCTGTACTTTAGATTTACTACCAAAGCCAGGATTAGATTATACGAACCTAGTGACACAACAACTCAGACTTTTATATATTCTAGCTTCTTATTCATATTACTACACAGATTTTAAAATGTTTTAGTACTGCAAATTAAAGTTAATCTGGACTGATATGTGAGTTAACAATGTGATTCTAGTGTCTTCTCAAAACTGACCAAAGAAAAGTAATGCATAAATGTTTACCTAGAAACCAACAGGGTCATTTCTTAATATCATTAATGTCATTGTGGACAAAGGTCATAAAATAAAATTAGATGTACTGACTGAAACTGGGTGGAGGGTGCAGATAAAACACTGTCTGGAAATATATCTTTGTCATATTTAATAAAGATGTGAGTTCAAATTGGGTTCTTCATTTTGTGATCCCAAGCTATTTGTAGGCAGTCAGAATCTGTATTTATTGTCAACTGTGTACGTATTATCACTGCTATCTGCTATCTGACTTTGGTGATGGGTTAAATGCAGAGGTCTACTATATATATATATATATATATATATATATATATATCACTTACCTTTTGCTACATTCATTCTATAAATTCTGATAAAAACGTGAAAAACGTGTAGGTGCTAATGCTGAAAACACAGCTGAACCGAATTACAAATGAACGTAACACAGGCATGAGTTACTGAACTTTCCTCCAGTTGGCAGTGGATTTGAGGTAAATGGGAAAGGCAGGACTCACTATCTCACCGTAGCAAGAGGTCGCATAATCTGGTTTGGACAAAACGTTGATTATCAATTATCCATACATACTACAGAGACCTTGACCTTATACAACGGTTTGTCCATAGAAGCCTGTGTATAAATACGAAAGGAGTTCCCTGTGCCGACTGAGACTCGACCACAATCCTGCACACAGTTTGCAGAGAACTGCAGCAATGGTACGTGTGATTTATTTATTTATTTTATCAACAGTAGTAGTAGACGAGTAAAAAGTGATCGCGTTAAATTAGAGATTTCAAACTAATAGCAAGAGCAAGATTATTCAACTATATTATCCAATCTTTCAACTATATTCACCGATTAGTACAAGGGCAGCGTAAATTCGGCTATTCTATTTAACATCTGGCTCTAAAACACCAACTCTGGTCTGTCGTGGGACGGCTACATGGCTAACGTTAGCTAGCGACAAACTTTACATTTAGGTGATACCGTAGGCTTGAGTTTTAACTCGTGTTTCATGAGCTGACCTTTCCTGGCTTCTAACGATAATTTATATTTTTTGAGAAACTCTACATCCTCCAAACCAAGTAATGCAGTCACTTCTTTCTTCACTGTTCTCCAACTTTCTGTGCGCTGACGTCACTCGGTGCGTTCTATGCTCTACATACAGGACAGAAGGTGTGCATCAGTGTTATTGGTCTTCTAGAAATTAGTCGAAGTTAGTCGGGTTCCTTCTTTTTTTCTTTTTGTTTCTAAATAAGTTTGTATGTTAACGCGATAAAACTTCATGTCCATTAGTAATACATTGTACATTTTTCAACTTAATGAAACGGAAAAACTAGTTTATGTTAAGGAAACTTTAATTACTGATTTTTATCTTCGCAGATATTTTAAGACAACTAACTTTTCTTCTCTCTTCAGGTGTCCACAGATAATATATGGATGTATTTACTGGAGGTCAGTTGGTTGTTTTTTTAATCTATTTCAAACATTCTGTGACACTCTTTTCTACATAAACCTTAACAAACTGTTAATCCGACTGTGTCTTTCAGCTGATCCAGTCTCACTACAACCTGACCACCTTATTACTTGGGGTTGCTCTCGTTATTATCAGACAGTACATCAGAGAGTTCTACAAGGTTGGTGGCTACAGCCAGAAGCATGTGCTAATCACTGGATGTGACAGCGGTTTTGGGAACCTGTTGGCCCGACAGCTGGATTCCAAAGGTTTTCACGTCATAGCAGCTTGTCTGTCAGAGAAAGGTGCTGCCGATTTGGCAGCATTGACCTCCAGCAGACTGAAGACTGTCCTGCTGGATGTCACAAGCAGTGAGAGCATCAAGAAGGCAGTGGAGTTTATAAGCGGGGAGGTTGGAGAGAGAGGTGAGCAGGGATGACAACATGAGTCAGTCATCCTCATTTACATGCATTTGTAGCAGGGATGACAACATGAGTCAGTCATTTACATGCACATCCATCATTTACAACGACCATGTACTATATGGTTTGAACCAGCTCAAATGCAGTAACAATGGTGGTTTGGAATTAAAAAGACCTGTGGTTTGAACCAGCTCAAATGCAGTAACAGTGGTGGTTTGGAATTAAAAAGACCTATATGAAAATATATATATTTTTTGGAAAATTTGGAAAACTATCTCAAACTGCATTCAAAAAAACAAAGTTGTAATTTAGTTCTTAAGCTTAAGTAACATTTTATCTTGCACTCTCAGATTTATGTTTTAACAAACATAATTAGGTTTGTAGGTAAGCCCAACGTTTTCCTGTGTCTTGTTGCCTACAACGTTATTGCATTTTTAGGGAGTGTACTAATGTTTCTTGAAATGGGGCATGTGATAGAACAAATCCACATACACATGCTCTTTCACACACAGACACACACTGATAGGGTGCCAGTCTGAGAGAGACACTGGGGGAGATAAGGCAACCTGTACCATCCCATCATCAACTCATCAGTCTTCTACTGTCAACATGGAGAGAGTTGAGCTACTTCAGACATGAATCTGCCCACAGTTTGATAAGAAGTTGACCTTGGGTGTCGGGTCAAAAATTTCATGGGGCTCAGGGCAAAATGCTCGAAAAATGAGAAATTATCCTTTAAATATACTTGGGGAGGTAATTACTGTCCTAGTTAAACAGTTTTTTGTTGTTGTTTTTTACAATGTTGTACAAAGTGTACATAAAGCTGGAGGGAAATAGTTTAAATGATTTGTGTGTGCCTGTGTATAAGAATATTTAATAGGAAACACAGGGAGTCAGATTCCTGTCCGATGTGTCATGTTGGTAAAGATAACGTGCAGAGACTATGAATACATTTTAGATAAGTATGGTGTGTATTTTTGTATTTGTGCAGACTTTGACCGTGTTTTTCGTTGAATGACTGCGGAAGCCATGTATGAAAGGTTACATTTGAACAGATTGAGATTGTTATGCATCACTATCTCACACTGAAGTTTGTATGTTTGTTTTTCCGACAGGGTTGTGGGGTCTGGTTAATAATGCTGGCAGGTCAACACCCATCGGCCCAACTGACTGGATGAACATTGATGATTTTAAAAAGGTTCTAGATGTGAACCTGATTGGAGTCATTGATGTTACTCTCCAGACTGTGCCCCTGCTCAAGAAAGCCCAGGGCAGGGTGGTGAACGTGGCTAGTATCCTGGGCAGAATGTCTGTGCTTAGTGGAGGATACAGCCCAGCCAAAGTCGGAGTGGAATTTTTTTCGGACACCCTCAGGTAGAGCAATATTATATAAAACTGTTTAAGAAAGTTGAAAGTATAAAGAGCTTTGATAGATGTGCATAGGGAATGTGAACCTAATGATAGTTGGCTACAAATGCTAAAAAGTTGGATTAATACAACATGATTAAAAAAAACTAATTTTAGTGCCATTTGCTACATCGCCTGTGCAGGAGAGACCTGAAGGCCTTTGGTGTGGAAGTGAGCATCATAGAGCCTGGTTTCTTTAAGACGGCAGTGACTCAGCAGGATCTCATTGAGGCAGATCTGAGGAGGCTGTGGAATCGTCTTCCTCAGGACGTGAAAGACCTGTATGGACCCACGTTTGTGGATAAGTGTAAGTTGAGACAAAGCTGTTGTAGATGCTTAAAGATATTAAATTTAGTGATCTATGAATATAGATCTACAAATGAAAATGCACACTTCAAAGGCCAGACAGTACTCGACTTCATCTGCAGCAATGATAGTTTTCAGGGAATAAAACAATTAAATTATAAAAAGTGTTCTATTTAAAATGTTGTTACTGTAACTGATATTTTTCATTTTTCTCTATCCCTTTTCCTCAGATGTAGAATGCCAGAACTTCAACCTGAGTATGTTTTGCAGTCCAGATATTTCTAAAGTGACATGGTGTATGGAGCATGCACTGACAGCCTGTTACCCTCGCAAGCGCTACAGTGCAGGCTGGGATGCAAAGTTTTTCTGGATTCCTCTGTCCTACCTCCCTTCACTTGTCCAAGACTTTGTTGTATCTTTCCTCGCCCCTCTGCCAAAAGTCAGACCAAACAAATAGTAGGTTTATGAAATATACTGTATGTATAAATACCCCAACATAAAAATTCAGTGAAATAAACAATATGACAACAAAGGTGCTAACAAAAACCATTGCTCAACTTGTTTTACAAAATAGGAAATTTATTCATTCATGTCTCAGCAGCAGTATTTAAACCACGTGGGTATTTCTCAGGAATCACTATATATATATATATATATATAACCCATTTAGATACAAAAGAGATCACTGCGTAAAGAATTATCTAGCATTTATGTTTATAAAACATCTAAAGCTTCGTGGTTCTCCTCAAGAAAATCAACTACATAAATTAACTTCCATGCGATAGACATGGGTAGTGTTCAAGTATCGTCCCAAACTATTTTGGCCATCATTCCAACACCTTTTGTATTAAAAAAAACTGATTGTGTTGATTCAGAGTCATTAAAGTCAGTGAATGTGGGTAAAGATAAGTACTAGATTCAGTAGATGTTCCACAGCTGTCCAGTGTTTTGACTTGTTCTAAGATTTTCAGCCCTGGAATGAGGTAAATAAGCAGGAAATACATCTCCGGCTTTGTTGAGTGTAGTCGTAGCACATTTCTCTAAAAGTACTTCCAGTGTACGAGTACTGCACATTCAGATCACTGTGTTAATTTTCTTTATGTGTAACTGTTTATACTGATCCTTTCATGCATCTACCCCCAGTGTATTTTCTGTCAGAATCTCTGCGTTTAAAATTTACAAATATACAACATATTTATCAACATTTCCTTCAGCAGCATCAGTGCAAAGATTTACATATTGTACATCAGAACAAAAAGAATTGGCATAAGAAATATCAGAAGGCATACTCACGGACTCATTAGTCTTCATTCTGTAGATTTTTTTCCTCTACAACTTGTTTGTACACAGGCTGCATTAAAAAAATAAATTCTGTGCAAAGCATGTTTTTTTTTGTTTTGTTTTTTTTAAATTCCCATCTGCGTGAGAGTTGTTATACATCACTGTCTTCTTTAACGAGGTTGGCCGTGTCTTTGAAACTGTCCTCGGTCGGTGAAAAGGTGCTGGGACGATCCCTCTTCTGAGGTTTAGTTGGAGGGACGAATGGAGAGGGTTCAGTGGCAGATGAGTTGCTGGTGCTGCTGACAGACTTCTCATCCTTCATCTTAATCAGTCAAGGTATAAATGCAATGAAAATCTTAGGACTAAAAGAAATAACTTATCACACTAAATTTAGAATCATTGTCCTCTTGAGGCCTGCAGGGGGAGCCAGAGCCATTCCTAGCAAACTTCAAACCTAACATTAATTTTCTTAGTTTACAGTTTTTTCAACTGTGAATAAAAATCAAATGTAGTTACGATACAAAATCTTACCTCTGAGTATGAAGGGTTTTCAAATGTAGTGCTTGGTTTTAATTTTCGTTTGAACATAGTCCATCTGGACTCCTGTAAATGATAACTGGTGTGAGAGAAATGCTAAAATGTAGCTTTTAAAGTACTAAACACAGAATTAATTTCTCACCTGACAAGGTGTGGTGTTGACTGAGGATGTGGTGACAACGCCTGCGCTTTGATCCCCACGATACGTTGGGTTTTCAAAGTTGTTTTCCACTTGTTCACTGCTCACATTCACAGTCACCTGTTTTCAACAACACACTTTCTTTCACAGGGTTCGTGTACATTTTACCAGGTTATGTGACTGTAAAACCGAATTGTGTGGTTAAGGTTGCAGACCCCTGGGCTACAGTGTCTAAAATAGAATGACAGGCAGACCTGTGTGGCGTGAATGACAGCAGGATCACCAGTCAGTGCCGGCGCTGAGGAGTACAACGGGTTCTCAAAGGTGATTGGCTGCCTCCCAGCTTCCACAACAAAGTTATCATCCTATGGGACAATGTACTGATAAGTTTTCTATTATGTCAAAATGTAAACATGAAAGACATGGTGTTATTTAGTGCACTTTTCTCAGAGAGTCAACACAAGCAGTTTTCAAAAGAATGCTTAACAGAGGAGTTCTATCTAATTGGATACACTTGAGCAACGGTGGAGATTATTAACTCCTCTCAATGATCCCTACTCCCACTCACCATCTGCATGGCTGTGTCAATGAATGACACTCCAATGTGGGTCGGTCCAAGATCCACATTATCACCCGAGTGAAATGTCACCCCATTTCCGGTGTCGGTGGACTTGACCAGACTACTGAGGCTGCAGAAAAGCGGAACAAAATCTCTTTAAGTTCAAATGAGAACACCCACTCAGGGAAAGTACAACAGGCAACAGTACCAGCTGAGATACCTGGGTAGTTTGGGCATAGAGGGGATCAGAGATCCTGTTCGTCTGTAGTTGAGGAAAACCGCAGCAACTAAAGCTCCAGTGACCAGGACGATGATCATGGCCAGTAAAACAGCCAGAGCTACAGGCAAACAAGAAACGAAAAAAAAAACTGCGTTTTGCTGACAAGTCTCATACTAATCCTGACTTCTTCAAGACCCTTTAGTAAAACATTGATCATTTGTCATTACTTGGCTATTCATTAAGTAAAACTATGGCTTGCCTTGATAAACATCATTATTTAATTTGCTTATTCAGACCGTTTTTTTTTTTTTTTTTTGCAGTAAGCTGTTTTAGTTGCCAGGGCAGTGTGACAACAAACAGTTAGCACTTGAACTTAGGCACCCTATGGGGGTAAAGTAGACTAAAAATGGGTACATACCTTGTTTTAAAAAAAAGTGAACACATTATTATGCACTGTACCTGTTCCTGCTGGAGCGCCCCGGGACTTCCCCTTTTCACAGTAGCTGCCCATATAACCATAAGGACATCTAAACAAAATAACCACAAATAATCTTTAATAAAAGTAAATGTTGCAATAAACAGTAGAAAAATTCATTTAATTTTTGATACAAACTAGGGCTGTGAAAATAAATGTATTTGTGTTATCTGCTGTTTGTCTTTCTGTTCCAGAAATAAAGACATTTTTGTCTTGTTGTTGTCATATTTAATAACCATCACAGCTACTTTGTGATTAATCATATTAAAAATATTATTTACCTGACAGCCCTAGTATAAACAATGAAGTGTCACCCACTGGAACAAATGGAACCTGTAATCTACACTCACTTGCACTTGGGCAGACCGCCTTCATCAGTGTAGCAGGTTCCACCATTCATGCATCGACATGCAAGAGGCATTACATTAGGAGGCTCAATGGCTGCAAACAGGTTCAACATAGGATAAAAAAAGCAAACTGATATCACCACAACGTAACACAAAAGCAACTTAAGAACAGTAACAAAAAAGGGACAAAAGAATACACTGTGAAACAATGGTGCAACACTGAACTGCAGGCAGCACATGCAGACAGACTGTTGGTCCAGTTTACCTGCATCACAGTGAGTGGAGTCAAACTCCACCTGAGAGGAGCCTTGTGGGCAGGCACAGGTGTAGCCTCCAGGGCGAAGGAGACAGAGATGACTGCACACGTTCTTACATGGGTTTGGCACTGAGGGCGATAAAGCAGAAAAGTAGGAAAAGTTCAACTTTTTCCTATTTGGAATCACATTGAGTTTTAAATTCAACAGATAAAAAAAAAGATAATTTGTCAATAAACCCTTCAGCTTCGATGATGCTACCAATACCAGCATTATCATTATATTCATAAAAATATAACAAATAAAAAAATATTTTTTATATTTTACAGTCTTCATCTACTACAATTAAATGAAATGAAAATATAAAAAATACATTATGTTAAAAATGTGTTAGATATATAGTCACTCATATTTCCAACCCTTTCCTCTACCCTCCATACTCTGTGTTCTGACCTGAGCGGTTGTACCGGTGCTCCTGGTAAATGCGGACTTGAGTCAGCCAGGGATTAATGGTGAGAACTTTGACTTTATTTCCTTTGCCAAACTTATTTGTCTTCCAAACTTCACCCTTGTCTTTTGTGGTCCAGTAAACATGCCCCTCAAAGACATCCAGACTATGTGGATGTCCAATGTCTGGAATAGAGAGGAGACAGGAATTGTATAATTAGACTGAAGTCACCTTAACTTTCAGAAACGCACTAAGGGTTGGTCTATACTGTGAGACACATTTCTGACCTCCTGATATGATGATCCTTCTGTCTGTGCCATCAGGTCTCATGGACTCAATGATGTTTTCCTTGGAGTCACACCAGTAGAGCCTGTTCCCATTCACATAGTCCAGAGCCAGCCCAGTGGGCCAGCCCAGGTCCTCCTCACTCACCAGCACCTCCCTCTTCTGACCGTCCATCCAGGCAGATTCTATCTTGGGTTTCCTGCCCCAGTCGGTCCAGTACATCATTCTGCCAGACCACCAACAACCCAAATGATCCTAATGCTACATGCCACGATAATTGCAAAACTGTATGTTTGTGATAATTTTCCCTACCCAAGTGATGGATTGACAACAATAGCAGCGGGCTGGTCAAGATCTGTGTGGATCAACCACTTCCTGTAACGTCCATCCAGTTTGGCCACTTCAATTCGATCGGTCCCTGAATCAGTCCAGTAGATGTGCCTGTAAAGTCATACATTCTTGGTTAGCGGCTAAATCCAAACCGTGACTTGGTAAGGTAAAGTCATAATCCAGGTGGATTACCCGCCGACCCAGTCCACAGCGATGCCGTCTGGATTAGAGATGTATCTCAAATTTAGATCCATCTCTCTGACTGGGTTATTTCCATGATCATTGAATGTGGTCATATAGGCGCGTTTAATGGAGCCAAACTGAGACCCTCGACCCAGGACTGTCCAGTACACAACACCTGGGACAACAGAGAAATCAAATTTACATGATTCTTTATAACCATGTATAACCACCTTTTTGGCTGCAACTGTAATCTTACTCAGGCTTTCTCCCTCTGGATCCCACATGTAGTCCAGGGCTTTGATGTGCTCAGCATTTTCCACATAATCAGAATATTCCTCAGACGACATGTTGAACCTACGGATACGAACGTTGTCTGGCAGCAGCAGCACTGGTGAGTTTCCTGTTTTGTATTTCAGTTTTAGTAAAGAAGATTGTCAATTTTTTTTAGAAATAAAAAAGAGCATTTGTGTGTAAAATTCCTACCCTGGGAAGCACATTCCGTTCCATGCGGTTCTCCGAACGAATGAAAGCCTTCGGCACAAAAACACTCGTAGCTGCCCTTTGAGTTCTTGCACTCCTGAGGACAAGTTCCATACACTTCACACTCGTTCACATCTTTTTCCAGAGCCGACCAAAAAAAAAAAACATTAATTAAAGCGTTAAAAAGTATTATATCAGTCTTTCATCCAGCTAACGAAGTTGTTGATTTTTTTTCTTACCTTCACATGTGTGTTTCTCTGTTGTTCTGGCCTTGTAGCCAGGCCTGCAGGAACAGAGGAAACCTCCTCCTGTCAGGTCAGTGCAGTTATGTTCACAGATGTTGTCACTGCATGTGTGACCAGTGCCATGGTCTAAAGTCACAAGTTAGAACGTGACCAGTGCCATGGTCTAAAGTCGGCAAGTTAGAACACATGTAAGAACAGATGGACTGTACATTTTAATGTCAGATTTTATTTGTTTACTGATATATTGTCTAATGTAACAACCGTGTCACATTTAACACAGAACTGTTTTTTTTCCTCAAGACTGAACTAGCCTTCTGTTAAACAGAAGAAAATAAAACATCTGTGCAACCTAACACTGCCTTCCACTTTAATGTGTATTTATTGAAATCCAGCCTAGCGAAGGTACTTTGTATCGAAAATACAGACAACCATTTGTAATGTTACTCACGGCAGCCAAGCTCATCCGACTCATCTCCACAGTCATCATAATCATCACAGGCGTAGGCATTAGGGATGCATTGTCCATTACTGCATTTATACTCTTCATTTGTGCAGGGGCCATGTGTTGGGCTTTGACCTGGTCACAGAGAAACAAAGTTG